ACCCCAGCTGATGACTGGTACTCGAGGTCATGTTTGACATCAGTGTGATGTAGGAGCTTACAGCAAAGACAGCAGACGGTGTGTATACCTCATTGTGAGGCAAAAATAACTGATTTCTGTTAATGTCTTACTGAACAAAACTGATCACATTCCTCTTAAGCTAAAACAGGAAACAGCTGAGTAAAAATTGACATGGGTTTTTTATGGAGACGATGAGCAGCAAAAGCTTCACTCGCTGTATAGGAGGCAAAACTGTCAAACAGTGCTGATGCTATTTTTGAGAACTGGGACACTTGTGCTGCTACTCTGAAACATTTTCTGAGATTTGCTTTCCTAAATTAGCATTCCTCTGTACGTACAGTGCTCTAGCTCACTTCTAAAATGTTAGTCAAATGTGTAGACTGCTGGTGTCTTCTGAGAATGAGGGGAGGGAACTCCAGCCCTTTGGAGGAGTCTGGGCCTTGGTAAGAGAGAAACCAAGAGAAAGTGAACAGTTTTTTGTTCTGCCTAAATCTGATGGAAAATCAGGAATTCTGTGGGATTTTTGTTCCTGTTCTTTAAGCTTTGTTACCAATCCTGACAGAATTAGTCTTAATTTGATAGAGGGTTAATAAGCTATATTGGGAACTAATAGAGTTTCTGAATTAACATAATTAAATCCTTTTTCCTTCCTCTCTCTAATAGAATTTTTAAAATTCACTGGCCCTTGATTCCTTAAACCCTATAAAGAGTTACCATTTTTAGGTGACGCTCTGTGAGCAATCCCATTGATGTCACTGAGTATGGAATAAGCCTATTACCAGAGGAAAGAATTTGAAGTAGCTTTTACCAAAACGATACCTGAATTTAAAAATAACCAACCTTTCTCTGCTTGTGAAAGTCAAACTAAAAGCATTTTTCACTCTTCATTCCTCTTCTCCAGCTTCCACAGAAAGTCATTTTCATGGAAGATAGGTAAAGGCTTCACTAATAGACCCTTTGTAGTTTAATTATCAGTGAGGTGATGAAACTACAGTCCTATCTGAAGTCACCACTATGACTCCATTAACTTTACCAGGACTGAACCCGTTCCTATTCATATATTAACAGTTAAATTGAAGTTACAAACACACTGTTGCTGCAATTGTATGAGCTGCTCTTGTTGGTTAATTTAGTTTTGGAAGCATTTTTGAGGCATTTGAAGATTTGTCAGTCCTTATGCTGTAAGACTTACTGCCTCCCTTTAGGTATCATGATATCCCTCAAAATACCTGCATTTGCTGAGAATTGGCATCCATGCTTGAATTGTGATTGTGCCCCTCACTGTGATTTATAGTGGTTTTGCACAAGTTCCTCATTAGCTCCTTTAAGGAGGAAACTTTCAAACAATGCATCTCTGGCTGGACTGGTGCTACAGAGAGTTGATAGGAAGGGAGGGACCTCTGAAGAAAAAATAACCAGGTCTCCACAAGTCCTAGAGGACCTCAAAGGTCTTCATGTGCCAAGTAACAGGGTGGGTTGTTCCTCCTATCCCTATCACTTGGGCTCATAAAACAATCCTTAAGTGACTGTGCTAAACAGTGGAAGAGAGATGGAAAAATTACATCCCTTTTACGTTTGTCAAGATGAAATATTCACTGTTACTCCACAGAATTCATTACCGTGGTTAAATCTGGGGAGAGAGAAATGGAACAGTGAAGAGAGCCCAACCATAGCTGAGACAAGCTTAAAAGCACAGCTTACTTCCAGCACAAATATTTGGGAAGAGCTTTTCCATTTGTGCCTTTTTTAATGGTGTTAAACATGATGTTTGAAGCCTTTTTCCCCCTTCAGAGCTGGGACCTGTGAAGGGCCTTGAGGGGAAGGTGTGGGTGGAGCGGCTGAGGGGACTGAGAGGAGACCTCATTGCAGGTACAACTTCATTGTGAGGGGAAATGGAGGGGCAGGTGTCTGGGGGGATCAGTGACAGGACCCAGGGAGCAGCTGGAGCTGTGCCAGGGCAGGTTTAGGTTGGATTCCAGGAGAAGGTTCTTCCCCCAGAGGGTGGTTGGCACTGCCCAGGCTCCCCAGGGCAGTGGGCACGGCCCCAAGGCTCCCAGAGCTCGAGGGTTTGGACAACGCTCTGAGGGACAGGGTGGGATTGTTGGGGTGTCTGTGCAGGGCCGGGAGTTGGACTGGATGATCTTTGTGTGTCCCTTCCAGCCCGGGATGTTCTGTGCCTGTGCAGCGCGGCCGCCCTTCACCGGGACGCCCGGCCTGTCCGTCTCTA